GGTTGAGTCCCAGAAAAGAAAAAAGACCACAGGGCACAGTGAGGCCCAGTCTGGGGTCTTCCCACTGGTGAAAGGACCCAGTGCAAATGACAGTGTGTTTATTGGTGCTTCATGAAACTGGGACCTGCTGCTGTTTTTCCAGACTGTTTCAACAGAATTCACCATATAGCCTGCTGCGTCACAGCGTCTCATAAATACTGTGGAATACGGGCTGTCTTTGGCAGCACATATACTAAAATATTTGTGGAATAAATGAATGAGCAAATGAATGGACAAGTAGATCCTTATACCTGAAAAGTCCCCTTCCTAAAAAGCCAGGTAGTGGCTGAGAGGTCAGGCTCTGGAACACAATAGCAATCCAGCTCTGTTCTTGGCTGTCAAGATGGTAGGATCTTAGAAGCATTAGTTGGGTCTCTGCTCTTCTGTCAAATGGAGGGATTCCTCCTTTATAAACTGGGATGATTACGGCACCTACCACTAAGACTTTGGTAAGGGTTACATGAGATATTTAGGCAACACAATTTCAACACTGGCTACAGGTCCACACACTTCTTCCTGAAGGCCTAGAGGGCCCGGGCTCTGCTCCGGTCATAGGACTACAGCCATAGACCGGATGCAGTCCTGCTCTCACTGAGTTCTACTTCCAGCTGGTGTGTGTAGAAGCCCAAAGCTCTCGCTGTTAGTAATATCAATCTGCTCTTTTCTGAGGAGAATGAACTCAAGTCCAAGCCTCCATTTATCAGGATATCTAGATATTAGATCTCAGTCTCATAATCCCTTTATTTTGGAGCCCATTAAAATCCACAGGGCTAGTGTGACCCCTGAAGAAGCGGAAACACGCCTCAGCACTGAGGTGGCCCATGGCCAGAACTACATGATCTACTAGGAGACTGGCCATATTGTGAGGGCCAGGATCGCCATGGACAATGCTGGACAAACATTCAGGAGCACAGGCCACAGGTTGCCACCCACTGCCTGTCTCTGAGGATATAGCACTTGGACTGAGGAAGCTGGGGACCAAGCTATGCACCCACACAAGAGAGTATTTGGGGCTAGGGACTGGATAGAGTGTTCTGGTTCACTGATAAAATTTGGGGGGCCCCAGGAAGTGCAGAGATTCTAACAATAGCATGTGATTTTTGTGTTGACAGAGGCATAATAAGTTTGGGAACCCCTGCCAGGCCATCCTGACTCACAGTGGCCTTGGAAAGAGAAGCACAGGGCTCCAGAGCAAGAGTGAGACTGGGGAGCTACAAGTCGCTGGAGGCTGGAGAGGGAGGACCAGGCCTGCAAGACAGCCCATGGAAAGGCCCCGAGCAGGGCAGTACTGGGCTCTGCCCAGCTCTGCATGTGCCTCCGGTGGGCCTTTGCCCCTCCCTTCCTCTCCGACTGAATGCCAGAGGCAGATGGGATCCAGCAAACCAGGGCAAGAGGACCTCCACCCCCACTAGGGGTTGGTCCTTGTAATATGACTCAGGCTTCAGACAGTACAACTGCCGGCATCCACCTATTTCTCTACTTCTCCAGGCTTTTACGATACTCTCAAAGATTAGCCTCTAACTGGAAGGCAAGCTACAGAGACACAGAAGGGTCAAAGCAACTTTTGAAGAGCTTCCTGCAAGAACTAATATCTAATCTATTTGCGAGTCAAGGAGAATGATTGAGCTAATAGTGGTTAATACTTTAAAGTATTTTCTTATCATGTCTCCCATCATTTAGTTTTAATTTTTTAAACCCAGTCTCAATAAAGCCTTTTTTATTTGTCAAGAAAGTCTTTTCTGTTATCATTTTTCCAAAAAGCAGCTGGACACTAGGAGCAGCTAACTTACTTGTTGGTGGTCAGTAAGTGACAGAGCCAATACCTGGAGCTAAGGGATCAGACTACAAGGTAATTCTCCGACAACTAGCATGGCAGCATCTACATACATAAGTCCATTTTTTCAGTATAGAAAGAGCATCAAGTTGATATTGATGTTAGCTTCTATATTCCTTATTCTTTCTGAAATAGGCCTCCTTAAATTCCACCTGCAAAAGTCACATCACCACCAGCCCAGGACTGGGTCCTTCCCTGCATCTCCAGTTCTGGGTCCCCCTAGAGTGGGGCCTCCTGGTTGTGTTTTGTGTAGTTACCACTGACTTGCACCAGTGCCCTGTCAGTGGACCCACCAGGTACTTCTACTCTGATCTCACATTGATCCTCCCTGACTGAAGATCACTGGTCCTTTATTCAGCACAGATGTACCTACTGTGTGCAGGCACAAGTGATTTGTAATGATTTAGGAACAAAGGAATCATAGCCTTGCTTTCAAGAGAAGTACAGTCTCTCAGTTACAACCGACAGTGGATAGGTAATGGTAATACAGCAGCTCTCATAAAACGAGGACCTTCGGCTGTTAAGAGAGCAGATATAGACCACGGCAGAATTCAGTCAAAAAGCCTCCTGACAAATTTTAAAATGAAGCTGTCCTTTCAGAGAAGATTAAAGTGGGCACACCTGTCACCAGATATGTTTTCCAGCTTCCAGCCCTCCTTGTGGTCCCACGTGAGTGTCTGGCTTGTCCTCTCTCATGTGGTATTAGTAAGTCACAGATCACTCTCGTAAGAATATGGCAAAAACAGCATCCGTAACAAACACATTTTCTGTTTGTAATTTATTATTCATCTAAGCCCTGTAAATTTTTTCCACACATTTCTAAGAACACATACCTTTTCGTACAGACTACCTGCTAAAGGTGAATGTATAAAACTGCGTTACTCTGATAGAAAATGGGCACCAAAAGTTAACCAATCAATCATAAAAGGAATCATAAAAGAATATACTTACAAATACATTACCACTTGACTGTTAACTCAATTTTTAAAAAGCATTTTGCCCATTTGAACTATTTTTCAGCAGGAGTCCATTTCTTGACTTTTGAGAAGCATTTAAGAACCCTGAGCTTCTGCTTGCCCCATGGAGCTCTCCATGGCTGGGCTCACTGGAGCGAATTTAAATTTCCAGAGAGCTCTGCTTCCCTTAGTGGCTTGGAAACTTGTACAGATCTGTGCTGCTCACGTAGAGACCGAGAGGAGGGCATCCTGCATGTCCCACCTGCTGTTCATGGAGGAGGTGGTTAGTGCTCTGGCGGGTATGGGAAGAAAGAACCCATTAGAGGAGAATACAGCGTGACAGCATAGAAGTGTAGTCTTGGCTTCTGGCCAAAGATGAGAAGGAGCTCAGTTTTACTGCATATTTTAGTATTCTCTTTCTATTCCACTGAAAATGAGGAAACAAAAAGCTTCTCTTTGTCAGAAGAAATCATCTCTGAGCTGCCATTCCTGCTTAGAACAGTGTTTTTCTGCTATATCTTTTAAAATGCCATTTGTTAATGTGATTACAAAATAAATTCCAGCCCATGTTTATTTCTTCAAAAATCATCTTTAGCTTTTAAAGGATATTTTAAAAGGCATATGCATGAACATATTAATCACAGTTACTATTTCCACGGTTTGAATGAAAAGAACTATGTATATCAATAGTGAGTATGGCTGAGCATAAAAGTCTAGAAATAGTCTCAATCTCTAAATTTATTTCTTCTGCTATAAGAAAAATATCACTGAAAGATTGAATTATTCTAATAGCATGCTTCATTCAGATTACCTTTATGAAATTAAAATTTTACTCTTTGAATCAAATTATGGATATATATTACCAATCACAACACTTAAGCTGTGATTAAATCAGCCAACATGCTTAACCACATTCTCTGGCTCTGCCTCTGAATGAATTTGGAAGGTCCCAAATATATCCATTGGACTCATAAAATCATTTGTTATTCACTTGCTATAAAATCTCTTGCAGTCAGTCCCTTACTTGAAAATTGGCACCTTTGGGTTGAGGGTATATCTTACTGGTACAGGAGGCCCTAGGTTTGATGCCCAGCATCACAAGAAAAAGAAAAGGAAAAAAATTGGCACCAATTATTCAAGCCATAAAAGTACAAGATATGGTACATTGCATTGTGGTAAATATAGCATATCAGAATCAGGCAGGAACGCCATTCTTCAGTGGCCTGAGTCCTTGAAGAGTGTTTTAGAGACAAAGGAGGAAAGGAATAATAAATCAGCCAGTCCCATGTATCAAATTTACATTAAATAGCAAGAAAGCAACTGTGTCAGATTTCTTATCTACTAATTCTTTCTCTTCTGATTTTGGACTATCTCTTTACATGTGAAAAGGATGTTCAGATCAACATATGGTTTCCAGAGATGAAGAGTCTATTATTGTTAACTTTTAATTACAATAATACAAACAAATGATTTTAAACCAACTTGAAAAAACACTGCACACCTACATATTTTCCCTACCTGTCATAATGTTAAACACCAATTCTTTATCATCGAAAGCTACAACACGACCCTGAGAATGGATCAGAACCTGATATCATTTTATTCTACTTCTGCTAGAATTTAATCAGAGGCACAAAAATTAGAAAAAGCTTCTGAGATAAAAATAAAACTTCAACTTGTAAAGCTTGTGTAGTACCACATTACTACATACTTCTTCCATTATCAAAACAAAATATTAATGAGCATGGAGTCCCAAACACATAATTCCAAATTGCTAATTGGAACTTTTTACTGTACTGTATTAATTGCCAGATGCAAAGAAGAAAGACAAATTATAAGTCAGGGAGGGATAGGAAAGGAAGGGGATAAAAAAGTAAGATATGTTATGTACCTGTACAAACTCCTCATAACAAATATAATCCTTATGTATCACAAATATGTACTAATAAAAAATGGAAAAAAAAGTTTTAGAAGGACCTCCCATCAGGTGTTATCAATGTCATCAGGTCTATGAGCTTGACTAATAGTAGCAGAAAAATATGTGAGGCAGGTTCACTGTACACTGGCATAAACCTCAGAGGAAGATTCTAAATGCCTTAACAATATCGTGTGTCAGTGTCAGTTCACTTTCACAAGTCCAGTGAGACAGAACAGCCATGCAAGATAAGGAAAATGACTTTACTACATATGGATGGGCAGCAAGAGAAAATAGAAGCTTAGGATTCATGGCAAGCTGGTCCTTCAAGGCTCAAGAAAGTTTTCTGGGGCACAAGGAGTCTTGTCTGTTTACAAGGTGTAACTACAAAACATGGTGAAAGCTGCTGCTGAGGAGCATCAAAAAAAGGCAGAGGTCTTCAGCTGGAAAAGAGGCATATGTCAAACCTTAATAAATATGTGACAAGCATCAATTAGTCTCATACAGTCAGTTTGTTATGAGTTATGGTTGAAAGAAAGATGTAATTTATAGTGTACAATAGCAACATGTGTAGTACCACATCACTACATACTTCTTCCATTATCAAAACAAAATATTAATGAGCATAGAGTCCCAAACACACAGATCATAGATCATTAACAAAATATTAATATGAAATTTTGTCAGTTTTATTGGAGTTATGCTATTTTGCTGCTTCCAGTGCCAGCTTTTTAAGAAACATCATCATGGAAGATGAAACTTGGATCTTAATAGTTATAATCCTGAGACCAAGTTTCAGCATTGTGAATGGAAATCACACACTTCTCTTCTCGAACAAAACACATCAATCAAGTTCCAACATCCAGGAAGATGGTAGAGTGGTAAACAGCAGCAAATTAGCTTCTCTGAGATTAGGAATCCCGACATAAGTATAACAACCTGGGAAAGAAACGAAGGAGGAAAATGGATCCCCAGGACCCAGAAAGGATCTGAAGGGAGATTGGAGCCTACAGGGAAGGGGAAGAGACAGACTTCAGTGCAGAAAAGGAAGTCAAACTACACTGTCTGCCTGATTCCTGGTTTGCAGCATGAGAGAGAAGGCTTGAATCTATACACAGTAAAGGCAGGTAACTCCCGAGGCCTCCGTGCAGAAACACGCAAGTGGAAAGGAGGAGTGGGTGCTATGAACTACAAAGGCTGGTGAGGGACTCCAGTCCAAGTATCCCCTGGAGAGGGTGCTTGGCTGGATGCCATTTTAGGGAGAAGCCAACTGAACTTGGGATTTAGAGCAGCTGTGGGTTGGCTTCCTCTCAGGGCTCCCAGCGACTGGGTGAAGCACAAACATAGGAGACATCCAGTCCAGGGTCAGGGAACTGAGGTAAGGCTGGTGAGAGACACCAAGAGTGCTATATGCTGAACAACTCAGGACCCAACCACTCAACTAGTAACCGGGATCAGCCTGAACTTCTGTGGATCTGAAAGCACCAGAATCAGCACCTTTCCCTATTCTGAGTGCAGGCTTCCTAGGGTTATCCAGCACCCCACAATAATCCTAATGCAGGTTTACTGGGATCATCCAGCATGGATGCAGGCTCTGTCTGCCTCCTTGTCTACCAGTGACAGCAGAGACATGTGCTGAACTGGATACTATCACAAAACTGTAGACCCCAGAAGATAACCATAGACTTGAAATTAAAGAAAAAGCTTTTATTTTTTCTTTGCTTTTGTTTCATTTTTTTCTTTTTTCTTGTTTGCTTTTGTTTTTCATGAGTGTGAACATTGTTTTTGAGGGGGTTATTTTGTTTAGCTCTTGCTTTTGTTTTTTCCTTTTTTATTTTCCTCCTCTATTCACCAGTTTCCCAAAGCTTGAGTAACCCTCATTTGTCCTTCAGCTTTGCTTTTAATCTCTTTCTCTTCCTTTATTTCTCTATGCTTTCTCTTACCCCTTTTAAATTTTCCCCTCTGAGGGTAAAATCATTCTATTGAGAAGATATTTACTCTATATCATTTGCTGATTTGTTTTAGATTTTATTGTATAAGTACAAATTGTGTACCTATGGTTAAAAGTAGCAAATTAATAATTAACACAGTCTGTCATTTTTTAAACTGTGCTTGATGCTGTTGTTATTATTGATTGCACTACTTTAGCCAAGGTGACATAGTTGTTGTGATCAGCTGTTTTTCCTTGTATGACAACACCAAAATTGTCATGAACAATACCATAGTTCAAAACCAAAGAACTGGGTGTCAGGTCAAGTAGGCATCAATTTATCATCCCTTATAAATTGAAGAGACAGAATTCTTGGGACAGACTGAATAGACAAAACCCAGCCACACCTAGAAGACTTCTCTGAAAATAATAATTTCCTAAGGATATCTCTGTATTAGTATTAAAGCTACACACCATAAACACTTCACAAGCGTCAATGCAAAAAATAAATTTTAAAAAAAAGAACATGAGAAGACATGGAAGCAAGATGCAACCCTAGATTTCTAGCTCACTCCAGGCAGATCCAGGGGGTATTGAGGTGGAAGAAATCATAAGCCACTCAGCTAAACTTTCTGAAACAGTAGCAGTGGAAGTAACAAAGGACATTAATGAGGCTCTAGATTTTAAAAAATCAGAAATAATTTCACAGATAATTAAAGAGACAATGACCACAATAAAGCACATGGCTACTGAATCTAGAGTAGATAGAGATAAAACAGAAGAGCTTAGGAAAATGATGGAAACCATGAATGCCCTACATAGGCAAGAACTGGATTCCATGAAACAAATTCAACAAATACCCAGTAGATCAAAAATTCTGTTGAAAGTATATGCAACAAAATCAACCAATGTGAAGACAGAATATCAGATCTAGAAGAAATATCTATGGTTAGAAATCATCAAATAACAGACATCTGAATAATATAAAGGGACTATAAAAAATCAATCCAACAGCTGCTGGATGATCCATAGAAACATAACATAAGATTGATTGGAATCAATGAAAAGATCAGAAGATACAGCAAACAATATTTAAAGAAAAACTGTTCACAGAAGTAATGCTGAGAAATTCCCAAGCAGGGCAAAAGAATTTGACATCAGATAAGTGACACATACAGAACTCCAATTAGCCATAATCATAAAAAACTACACCAAGTTATGTAATAGTCACTATTGCAGAAATTCAACACATGAACAGAATATTAAAAGCTGTTAGAGAAAAGAAACATACCCCCTATAAAGGAAACCTCATCAGAATCACAGCAGACTTCTCAACACAATTGCTCAGGTCAAGGAGAGCTTGGAGTGAAGTATTTCAAACCCTAAAGGCAAACAACCTCCAGCAGACATACCCTACAAAACTATCTTTCAAAATGGATGGAGAGGGGGCTGGGGATTTAGCCCAGTGGCACAGAGCCTGCCTGGCAAGTGCAAGGTCATGAGTTCGATTCCTAGTACTGGAAAAAAAGCAACAACAACAAAAAAAATGGATGGAGAAATAAGATTCTTCATGACAAAGAACACCTGAGGACATTCAAGAACATCAAACCAGCACTCCAAAATGTTCCAAAGGACATTGTAGAAAGAGATAACAAGGATTAAAACTCTATTAACTCCAACAGAATGACTCCACCAGGCAAGGCAAACAATTAAACAGAGGAGACAAACAAAGGGAGACAACAATAGGAAAATAAGGTGACAAGGACAAGTCTATACATATCAGTTATAACCATAAATGCTAATGGTCTCAATTTACCAATCAAAGGAAACAGGTTGACAGAATGGATCAAGAAGAGGGACTCAACAATATGCTGCCTAAAAAACCCACATTTAATTAAAATGGAAAGCCATAGGCTGAAAGTAAAAGGATGGAAAACAATACTCCACATGATAGGAACCCAGAAAAAAGCAAGGGTAGCTATACTATTTGCAGACGAAGTGAATTTCAAGCTAAGACTGATCAGAAGAGACAAAAACATCAGATAAACATTAATATAATTGTAATAGGGCACCCCAAAACCTCACTGTCGCAAACAGATCTTTACAAAAAAATCAACCAAGAAATACCTGAGCTCAATCAAACATCTGAACAAATGAATTTAGCAGATATAGAGAGTGTTCCACTCCACGACAACAGAATACACATCCCTATCAGCTGCACATGGGATATTCTCCAAAATAGAGATACTATAGAGATACTATAAGAAATAATTATAAAACTACCCATTAAAAAAGCGCAGATACCACATACTAGCTCATAGGGCATGCTTAAGTAAGTACAAAAGAATTGAAACTATCCCTTGCATATGATCAGATCATAGTGCAATAAAATTGGAAATCAATGGCACAAAAATCACAAAAACTTCATAAACACATAGAAATTAAATGACAGCATACTGAACAAACAGTGGGTCAAAGATAAAATTAAAGAAGAAATTAGACAGTGTCTACAATTAAATGATAATCCCAATATAACATAGTAGAATTTCTGGGATGCCATGAAGGCAGTCCTGTGAGGGAAATTTATAGTGGTGAATTCTCATCTCAGAAAAACAGAGTGAGCTCAAATAAACAACTTAATGTTGAATCTCAAGCTTCTAGATAAAGCAAAGCAAGTCAGCCTAAAGCTCATGTGAAGGACAAAATAATAAAGAGCAGAGCAGAAATTAATGCAGTGGAGACTAAAAGCAAAATACAAGTAATCAATGAATCAAAGAGTTGGTTCTCTGAACGGGTAAATGAAATTGCCCAACCCTTAGCCAACCTTACCAAAAAAGGAAATAAAAGACTCAAATCCATGCAATTAGCAGTGAAAAGGGTGAAATCACAACAGATCCTGAATAAATCCAAAAGATCATCAATATCTGCTTTGAGAATATGTTCTCTGATAAAATGGAAAGTGCAGAAGAAAGGGACACATTCCTTGATTCATATGAATTACCAAAAACAAGTCAAAATAATCCAATATTAGTCAATGAAATTGAAGAAATAATTATAAAACTACCCATTAAAAAAGCGCAGGTCCTGATGGATTCACTATTGAATTCTTCAAGAAGTATAGAGAAGACCTAATTCCACTACTCCTCAAACTCTTTAATGAAATTGAAAAGGAAGCAGTAATCTCTTCATTCCTGGAAGCAAGCATTACCCTGACCCCAAAACCACAGAAGTATCCAACCAAAAAAGAGAGCTACAGGCCAATCTCCCTAATGAACAGAGATGCAGACATCCTTAATATGGTACTGGCAAACAAAATGCAGCAAATCATCAAAAGATTATACACCACCAAGTAGGATTCATTCCAGAGATGCAGGGATAGTTCAACATATGCAGATCAATCAATGTAATACACCATATCAACAGAGCCAAGGACAAAAACCATGTGATCATATTAATAGACATAGAAAAAGCAGTTGACAAAGTCCAACACCCATTTATAATAAAAACCCTCTGGAAAATTAGAATAGATGGTCTTTATCACAATCTGATAAAAACCATCTACGACAACAAACTGAAAGCTTTCACTCTAAAATCAGGAATAATACAAGGATATCTACTGTCACCACCCTTATCAGTATAGTTCAGGAAACATTAGCCTGAACAATTAGACAAGAGAAAGAAATAAAAAGAATAAGGATAGGAAAGGAACAATACAGACCTAATTGCTCTGGGTAATATTGGGAGAAAAATAAAGTTGGATGGGAAAAACCTTAGATTATTTACAGTTTTAAGAAAGTCTACAGGGAATTCTAGATAAGACTGCCCATCAAAGGTGCCCACGTAATCTATGAGCATGCTGGCTGTATCAGTCTGTGTTCTCTAAAGGAACAGAGCCAATAGAATGGACATAAATTATAAAAGGAGATTTGGTTGGTTGACTTATATGGTCAGACGGTAGACAGTCATCCCACACTGTCCACATCCATGCCAGGAAGCCAGAGGAGTCAGTAGCTGCTCAGTTCGAAGACTGGAAGCATCAGAATAAGAGGGACTGAGGATGAACCTCCAGTTCAGTGTTGAAGGCCTGGAGATTTGCGGGTGTGAATTCATGCTGAAAGGCTGAAGAAGAAGCTGGAATCCTGTGTGCGTAGGGAATGGAAGGAGTCAAGGACCACCCGCATAAGAGAATGAAGCTTCCATGCATGAGTGGGCTTCTTCCTATGTTCCACACAGTTTTCAAGCCTGCAGATGGTGCTGCCTACAGTCTTTCTCCCTTTGTTCATGGACCTAACACTAAGGTCTCCAGAAACACTCCCCTGACACACCCAGAAAGGTGCTTAACTCATTTCCCAGGTTCTTTCAATCCAATTACATTGACAATGAAGTTTAACCATCACACCTGCAGTGTTCCTGCTGCGCTCCATCATCCGCTGGGAGCAGCCGCAGAGGCATGGCCTAGGCAGGAATTAGGACGTGTCAGTCAAACAGTTGTGAAGGCCTTCACAAAAGGACACACCCTTCAGTCAGAGCTCTGGAAGGGGTTCTTTCATGTGCTAGCAGCCCGGGCCCAGTCAGGATGGAGAACTCACACAGTAAGATAAACAGGAGAAGTTTAATACAAAGATTATGAATCTCAGACAAAAGCATGATGATCAGATACAAAGACCCTCCTCTGGTGCCCTAGGGCTTTGAGAGCGTGCCCAGTAAGGTCATCTCTGTGAAGGGCTGTGACGTTCGGACCTAACTTCCAAAGACGTAGCTCAGCCCCTGACAGCAGGGATTTTGGCTGGTTTGCCCTGGCTGGGGCTCACGTATTGTCACCAGGTGAGCAGAATGAAGTTCTCTGGTTTGCAGATGATCAGCATCCAGTGACACGGGTGGGCAGAGACAGCAGTAACTAGGAGGAAACTGTGTGTGGGTCTCAGAGGAATTCAGGATGCCAGGTGGCAGGAGGCCTATGAGGGGCTGGTCTCTTGAGAGGCTACAGGAAGGTCACCAGGCCGGCCTGAGGTTCAGGGTATGAGGCTAGGGCGGAGATGCAGTAGTTCCTCACCCCTATTTCACACTCCCACTGCTGAGCAGGGAGCCCTTCTCCTACGGAGCCCCTCAGGGCATGGCCCTGAGCAGGGTGGCCATGGTGACGACTCTGAAGAGCAAATGCGAACGCATGCTGCCCCTGTTAACACAGCAAGGACAAAGGTGCCCTGGGATCCCAGCGGCAATGCACCCACTAACTCGGACACGTAGTCACCTCAGAAATCATAAAGTTAGGATTGCTCCTTTTAAAGAGCAGAAACTGAGCCTTACATACCTTGGGACATTAAGTAACTTGAAAATCACATATGTAGCAGCTGGGGAAGCTGGAGATCCACGCTTAACTCGTGTTCCTTATCACTGCACTGCACTGTTATGATTCACCCTGTACTACGATCCTTTCACAATCCCCGTTTAAAACAGGTAACTTGTCCTAATGATAAGCTTAGGGATTTGTTAGCATACTATCCAAATAAGTTGGTTTTCTTGTTGTCACTTTTGGCAGGCCTGAAAAGATGTCCCTCCCTTATATTGTATAGCGGTTTGACTGTACAGAGAAGCCAGGGACAGATTTTTTAACCAGATGTAAGGAAAATGAACCTGCCTCATATAAAAGAATCAAAGCTGACAAGCAGTGGAGATGGGTATCTAGGAGGAGCACTCAAAGTCCTCCTGGCCAGTGGCCTCAGGGAGAAACTGAAAAGGCAAGATGTGTGTGGCGTTCCCCATGCGAAGGTTTTCTGAGACTCATAGCTTTTCTTCCTTTTCCCCTGAGGCTGAATGTGAGGAAATGAGCTACATCAAAACCAGACAGACTTCTGCTGACTGCAAGGAAGAACTCAGCCATTAAGATGATGAAACACTAGAATAAAGTTCTTTGTGAAGTGTTAAAATCTCCATTCCCAGAGATATTAAAAAGAAAATCAAAACTATCTATCACGAGTGCTATAGACATTCTGCCAGATGAAAATAGCACTCTCTCAAGGTCTTCCTGTGCCCCAGAATTCCAGCATACCTTTAGTCATCTTTCCTTCTTCCTCTCCAGCAGGGGTAAATGCTGCCCCAGAACAGCAGACACCAGAGGGTATCACTAATAACGGTTCACACTGATGCTCAGGTTCACCAACCGCTTCACACACATTTTGCCTTTCAACTTTGCAACACTACAAGGCAAACAGCATTATTTTCATTTTAAAAATCATGAGATTCAGAAAATCCAGGTAACTTAACAGAAGTCACACAGAGAATAAAGAGTAGTCAAAATTCTAGCCCAGAACTAAGTCCATACAGCCTCATGGATGAATTGATTTTCTCTCCTTTCATTAGGCTTTTGGGCAGACATCTCGGAGGCTTCCCCTATATCCCTGAAAACTCTCCAGGCTACCCTCAAAGCCTGCCAAGTCTGATTTGTACAGCTACTTTTATATTCTTTGGAAATTAGCGAGTGAGCACAGCACAAGCAGAAAGAGAACGGTAGCTGATGAAGACAGGCAAAGAGCACGAAGTGCGTCATGTCTCGGCGACCTCGTGAAACTGACTCGGTCTTGCAGAACAAGTGTGAGAAGAGGAGTAAGTGACACGGCCTGAGTCAAGCATGAGAGCGGTGTGCTGCAGCAGGAGGGTGTGAAAACTGAACCCTAACAGTGCTCGTAGAGACTGAAACCTCTAGGCTTTCTCTGAGGGATCCGTTACTGTATTTTGAGAACTAAGGAGTTCTTTTTTTCCCCTTGCTGTTAATCATTTTCATCTGAGGTCCCAAGGAGGAGCAAGCAAATCCCTTTGATAAGAAGCATTGGCGGGGATGGCTCTCCTGTGGGAAGCATTAGCAAGAATGGTGGCTCGGGCCACAGGGCTCACTAAGACTTCCACGGCCACATTTACTGAACAGCTCAGAATCTCACCTTTCCCCTGTCCAGATGGTTTCAAGCTGGAAGTCCCTCATGAGAACCCTGTAACACACTTATCCCCCAGAAAGCTATTACCTTAGAAGATCTCTCCAGAACACTCATCTGCCCGGTCATCAAAACGCTACCCTGTGCCTCTTTGCATATTAAGGAAGATAACTACTGAGGAAGGTGATACAAAAGTGAATTAAAAGATTTCTGTGCTATTAAGGAATTCAGAGAGTAGTATAAAAGGTAAAAATATCAATAACCACAATGTAAACTCTGGTGAAAGTATCTAGGACTGTGTGTAGCAGAGGAAGGCCCCCTAACCTAGGCTTTGGAACATGGTCTCTAGGGGGTAAAGAATGAACAGACCTTTCGGTATTAGTCAGCTCAGTCTGACTCAATCTGACATATCAAAATATCATAGATGAGGTGGCTGATAGAACAGAAATTTATTTTCTTATTGTTCTAAAGGTTAGAAAAATCAGAGTGCCATCTTTAAGACCTCATTTAACTTCAATTAATTCCTAAAGATCCTATTCCCAAATGCAGTCACAGTAAGAGGAATTCAATCCATGGATTTAGGGAGACACAATTCAATCCTCAACACCTTCCCCATGGTAGGAGTTGGCCAAGTAGAAGCTAGCTAAGAGCGGGGAGGGTTGGGGTGGGGATGGGAATCTCAGGTAAGTGTACCAGTGGACACAGGTTCAAAGGCTTAGCAGACCCAGCAGATCCAGCACCTTAGAGAAGTAAGGAATAGTCTAACATGGCAGACATAGTAGAGATTATGGCATTAGCTGAGCAGAAGGGAAAATCTGGAGTGTTTTCTAAGCACAGTGTACTTTATTATGTGGGTAGTCAGGATGTTTTTGGCAGAACATTTAATAGAGAAATTGCAGAGATTTAAATTTTAAGGGAAAAAGTTGGTTCACATACTAAGAAGAAATAGTAAGACAAAGGCAAGAGGAACATTATTTGTATTTAAAAGACTATTTCTGGACCCTACATGCTCAGATATAATGACAATTTCTCTAGCCATATTACTCTAGATCAGTTCTGTCTAATAGAAATACAATGAATGTCACAGGTATACTAGCTTGTAATTCTTAACTAGTAGCCATATTTTTAAAAGTTTAAAAAATTAAATGAATTTCATAATATGTCCTTTAATCCATCATATCAAAAATATCAATTCAAAAGTAATTAATATAAAAATCAGTAATATGATATTTTATGTTTTTGTTACATTCTGTCACTGAAATAATTTTCATTTTATACTTCCAGAACAATAGTTTAGACAAGTTACATGTGAAAAGTTCAGTGTTTTGTGACTTGGTGCATACTGGGCAGTACAGGTCTAAGAAATGTTCTTTTTGCAAACATGAAATGTCAAAAGGTATTCTTTATTAAACTAAATATTAAAATAGGAAAACTGGGATTTTTATTATAAAAATAGGAAACACTGGGATTTTTAAAAATGTGTATTTAACTTCTTTTGTTTTATATTTCACATTCTGGTTTCTCAAAGCTATATAATAAAGCAATATGTAACATTCCCGTTTAGTAAATAAACTTTCCAATGATTTCTTTTTCATAATACCATCAGAGAAGATGTAATCTACAGATGCCGAGAGTACTTGATTAGAGCATTTACTTTATCATGGAGATAACAAGATATTCTCTGCCTCCAAAGACTAACCAGTGGATGTTGGGGGATCAAAAAAAACTCTACTTTTACATAGTTAGTCTTACATAATATTCTTATTGAAAATAACATGGAGGATGTTTAAAGTATCAGAGATATGACATCCAATGAAACAATAAATTAGTTTAGTTTACCAATATTTATTTCTCACAATTATACTAATATGGCTAAAGGCAAATTTGACAATAACAATTCTGAGATGATTACAAGCACAACTCTGAAGTCTGTTTTTCAGCTGAAATGATTGTAGGTAGGAGTTTTGAGTTATGTTCACTTTGATAAAGCAATTAGAGTTGCAATCCTCCCACTGTCTTCCTTCATGCCCTAGTCAGTTGCTAGGCCATTTGCCACTGCTCATGAGTCCACATGTATATTATAACTTTGACAAGTTCTCTTTATACAAAAAACTAGATGACTAGGTGCTCTGCTGGATGTTCTGCCCATCAGAGAAGAGCCTCTTTTCCTTCCATCCCTGAGTTAAACTCAATACAACACCATCATTATCCTGTTACATTCCCTTTCCAAGCCAATCCATCCAGGAAACAAGCTTGGCTTCTTCCTTCTCCATCAATTGCTCATAGGGATCCCTCATTGGGCAAGAGATATAAGATAAAGGAGAGATGATGCTGCAGCAGTGGGTTATGACATGGGCTACTTGCTTACTCAGCTTCTGCGAGCATAACCAATTGCAGCCCAATGTCAGGTGCTCTCATTCAGGGTCCAGGACCATTCCTGGGCCTGTTTATCAAAGGTCTGTAGTGCTCTGCTGCATATGAAAAACAGCCTTGCTCTAGAACACTACATGTTACTACACTATGGATGACTCTCTCATAAGAGATGCCGTAAATGCCACACAGCATCTTTCTCGACCTCTAAAGACTGTACTCTTATAGACCAAGTCAGCAAAACTATCTGGGCCAGGTTATATGGCCAGGCGCTGTGTCCTGTAATCTAGATTGGCTGCTGCGCCTTCTGTTGTCCCGGCCCACATTCAGAGCTGACAGCTTCTTGCGTCTCCGGGTGTAAGGGTCAGAACAGTTTTCCCAGGAGAGGAATATGCGGTCTTCAGTCCCTCCACGGCCTACCGAGAAGGCCCTGAGCTACCACTGCTTAGAGATGAGATGTGCAAGGCTCACTGCAGGGTCAGTTGATCATGATCCAATGTCCGTGTCATGCATGAGTGACCAGTACACTCTGCATTCCGTCCTACTAGTCTGTGGATCTATCTTCCACACGGTTAGAACCCCATGCAGTTCTAACTACCATGGAGTTATAATAATTCTTGACTTCAGTAAGTCACTTTGCTCTTCTTCAGTCGTATTGGACTATTCTTGGCTCCTTAAACTTTATATCACTCTTGGGTATTTACCAAGTTACATACACATGCACACACAAATATATTTTCATTCAAATTGCTTTGACTTTGTAGATCAATTTGGCAATAATTGGCATCTTTAAATACTGAGTTATCTATACAAGTAAATATCTAAAAATGTGGGCATTCTTTCATTTTTATCAATAATTCAATTTCTACATAAAGATGCTACACATATTTTACCTTTAAATATTTAGTATTATATTCAATGCAAATGGTACCACTTTATGTTTTATTTATTTTATTGTTACTACTAAGCAGAAATTATTTTTGTATATTGACTATATCCAGAATCTTATTAAAATACATATTAATTTAAATAATTTATCCCTAGATTCTTTTAAATTTTCTTTGGTTCTCTTTTATTTTCTAAGATTCTTTTTCATGTAATTAATGAAGAAATGTCATCTTTTTCTTTCTAGCCATATGCTTTAATTCATTAATTAGTTTTTGCTTTATTGCACTGGTTAAAATATTCCACATACTGTTGTAAAAAGTGGTCTGGTCTCAAAGAGAAAGCTTTTAACATGTCACCATCAGATACATTATTTGCCCTTTTTGTGCTTTGTTTTTTTTTGTTGTTTTTTGTGTTTTTTTGTTTTTTGTTTTTTTTTTTTTTTGGTACCGGGAATCAAACTCAGGACCTTACACTTACCAGGCAGGTGCTTGTGCTGCTGAGCTACATCCCCTGCCCCTATTTGCCCTTTTTGGAGTTTGTGTGTGTGTGTGTGCATGTGTGTGTAGATAAAGGAACTTCTTTTTTCCTGGTTTTCTGAGATTATTTTTTTAGTTTAGTTCATAGTAAACTTTTTTGTGTTAATGTGTTTGCAGTGCTTAATGCTTCTATTCCTTGTGGGGAGTTGGTACAATCTTTATTCCCTTTTCATCCCTTTCCCTGCCTTCCCATCCAATCTCTTGATCTTCTTCCCATTTCAGAAAGATTGAGAGTTTTGTCAGGAGTGAAGACTGTATTTTAACCAATGTCTTTCCTGCATTTGCTCAAATTCATTTGTTTGTTTTTCTCTTTATTTCTTTAATGTAGTAAATTATATCATTTTAAAATAAGAAATTACTCATATCTTTACATATAAATCCAACTTGATTTTGATGTATGTTTTTATAGATTGTTGAGTTCTATTTTGATTAGTATTTTGCATTTCAGCAATATTGACTTACAATTTTTATGACATA